CAATCATAATGGAATGAAATTGGAAATCAATGATAAAATAAGGAAGAAAAATTCCTACATCATACGGAGAATGAACAATATGCTACTGAATGAACAATGGGTTACAGAAGACATCAAGGAGAAAATTAAAAAATTCTTAGAGGTAAATGAAAACTCAGACACAACATATCGAAATCTCTGGGACTCTGAAAGCAGTACTAAGAGGGAAAATTCATTGCATGGAGTTCATTCCTTAAAAGAAGAAAAAGCCAACAAATAAATGACCTCACACTACATCTCAAAGCCCTAGAAAAAGAAGAACAAATCAGCAAATGCAGTAGAAGGTAAGAAATAATTAAAATCAGAGCTGAAATCAATGAAATCGAAACAAAAGAAACAACTGAAAAAATTGACAAAACTAAAAGTTGGTTCTTTGAAAAAATAAAAAAGATTGACAGACCCTTAGCCATGCTAACGAAGAGAAGAGAACCAAAATTACTAGCATACGTGACGAAAAAGGCAATATCACAACAGACACTATAGAAATACAGAAGATAATTAGAAATTATTTTGAAACCTTATACTCTAATAAAATAGAAGATAGTGAAGGCATTGATAAATTCCTTAAGTCATATGATCTGCCCAGACTGAGTCAGGAAGATATACACAACTTAAACAGACCAATATCAATTGAGGAAATAGAAGAAGCCATCAAAAGATTACCAACCAAGAAAAGCCCAGGACGAGACGGATATAAAGCCGAGTTTTACAAAACCTTTAAAGAAGAACTAATTCCAATACTCTACAATCTATTTCAGGAAATAAAAAAAGAGGGAGTACTTCCAAATTCATTCTACGGGGCCAATATCACACTGATTCCAAAACCAGACAAAGACACCTCAAAGACAGAAAAGTACAGACCAATATCTCTAATGAATATAGATGCAAAAATCCTCAATAAAATTCTGGCAAATCGGATACAAAAACATATCAAAAAGATTGTGCCCTATGATCAACTGGATTCATCCCAGCCATTAACATTACTGGCCAGAGCAATTAGACAGAAGAAAGAAATTAAAGGAATATGTATAGGAAAAGAAGAACTTTAAACTAGCACTATTTGCTGATGATATGATTCTATACCTAGAAGACCCAAAAAACTCTACTAAGAAACTTTACTAGAACTAGTAAATGAAATCATCGAAGTGGCAGGATATAAAATCAACATCCATAAATCAAAGGCATTTCTGTGTATCAGTAACAAATCCTCTGAAAAGGAAATGAGGAAACTATCCCATTCACAATATCCTCAAAAAGAATAAAATACTTGGGAATCAACTAACAAAAGAGGTGAAAGATCTTTACAATGAAAACTATAGAACCCTAAAGAGAGAAATAGAAGAAGACCTTAGAAGATGGAAAGATCTACCTTGCTCATGGATAGGCAGAATTAATATTATTAAAATGACCATACTACCAAAAGCACTATACAGGTTCAATGCAATTCCGATCAAAATCCCAATGGCATTCCTCATAGAAAGAGAAAAAGCAATCATGAAATTCATCTGGAAAAATAAGAGACCCAGAATAGCTAAAGCAATTCTAAGCTATAACAGATGATATCGTTATACCAGATCTTAAATTATATTACAGAGCAAGAGTAACAAAAACAGTATGGTACTGGCACCTAAACAGGCTGGTGGACCAATGGTACAGGATAGAGGACACAGAGACTAACCCACAAAACTACAACTACCTTATATTAGACAAAGGTGCCAAAAGCATGCACTGGAGAAAGGATAGTATCTTCAACAAATGGTGTTGGGAAAACTGGAAATCCATATGCAACAAAATGAAATTGAATCCCTCTCTCTCACCATGCACAAGTTAAATCAAAATGGATCAAGGATCTAGGAATTAAACCAGAGACTGTGTGTCTAACAGAAGAAAAAGTAGGCCCTAATCTCCATCACATGGGGCTAGGCCCCAATTTCCTTAATAAGACACTGATAGCACAAGAATTAAAAACAAGAATCAACAAATGTGATGAATTCAAAGTAAAAAGTTTTTTATCAGCAACAGAAATAATATGTGAGGTGAATAGGGAGCTTACATCCTGGGAACAAATTTTTACCCCTCAAAAACAGCGCTCTAATCTCTAGGGTATACAAAGAACTTCAAAGGTTAAACACCAAAAAATCAAATAACCCAATCAACAAATGGGCCAAGGACCTGAACAGATACTCCTCAGTAGAGGATATACAATCAATCAACAAATATACAAAAAAATGCCCATCATCTCAAGCAATCAGAGAAATGAAAATTAAAACTACTCTAAGATACCACCGAACTCCAGAAAGAGTGTCAGCCATTATGAAGACAAACAAGTGCTGGCGAGGATGCGGGAAAAAGGTACACTCATATTCTGCTGGTGGGACTGCAAATTGGTGCAGTATGGAAATTCCTTGGAAAACTGGGAATGGAACCACCATTTAACCCAGCTATTCCTCTTTTCAGACTATACCTAAAGGACCTAAAAACAGCATATTACAGGGACACGGCCACATCAATGTTTATAGTAGCACAATTCACAATAGCTAAACTGTGGAGCCAACCTAGATGTCCTTCAGTGGATGAATGGGTTTAAAAAATGTGGCATTTATACACAATAAAATATTACTCAGCAATAAAAAAGAATAAGATAATGGCATTTGCAGGGAAATGGATGGCATTAGAGAAGATTATGCCAAGTGAAGTTAGCCAATCCCAAAAAACCAAATGCCGAATGTCTTCTCTGATATAAGGGAGGTGACTCAAAATGGGGTTGGGAGGGAGAGCAAAGGAGGATGATTACCTCTAGATAGGGAATAGGGGTGGGAGGGAAATGGAGGGAGACGGGGCATAGCATGGATGGTGAAAGGAGACCCTCATCATTATATAAAATACATGTATGAAGATGTGAATTTGATGTCAATATACCTTATATATAATCAGAGATATGATAAATTATGGTATAATGTTGTATTAAGAATTGTAATGCAAAAATAAATAAATTTTTAAAAATGCAAAATAATAATAATAATCTTTCTCAGACAGGTGCAGTGGCACATGCCTATAATCCCAGGAGCTCCAGAGAGAATCGAAAATTCAAAGCCAGCCTCAGCAACTTATCAAGGCCCTAAGCAACTCAGTAAGACCCTGTCTCTAAAGGGGACTGGGGGTGTTGCTCAGTGGTTAAGCACCCCTGGATTCTTAAGTACCAAAAATATAGGTAAGTAAATAAATAAATAATCTTTCTCTCATTAAGAAAGTCTACTCACTATAAAAAAAATTCACTTTGTTATGCCAGATTATCAAAATTTACTTATTCTTGCTCCCCTTGGTTAATTCTTATCTTTTAAAGAGATTTGACTATTTAGTTTAGATCATAAGTGGTAATGAAAGTTTCATTATTCACTCAATATGAGCCAATTAATTTTAATATTTTAGAAATAAGTTCTTCATACCTGTTTTTTTCATTTGGCATGCTGGAATTGAATACATTGTGTTGCACATGCTAGGCAAGTGTTCTACTACTGAGCTACACCCTCAGCCCTTTCAATATTATTGATAGGATTATATAGATTTAATCCTTATTCAAGTAGGATGATAATAATGAGCTTTCTGTTGCTCTAAAAGTCAAATGCTATGCACTACACACTCTTTAATGTTGTATCACRGTATTAAAATATGCCCTTAGCTATCATTTTTAAAAGATTTCAATTTATGTTTGGGGCATGGAGAGTCATTAAAAATTTAATGATTTGCAACAACTGCTAATAGAGCAATTTAAAGTTATTTGCATATATAAATATGAAACAACAAATCTCCTATTGTGTATAATTATAATGCACCAATGAAAAGGGGAAAAAGTTATTTACATTATAAGTGTGGCACAACATATCCTATAAATGATATCTATCCCAATAATGTGGTAAAAAAAATCTCAGACTCTGCTAGTTGCTAATACTTGCCACATTCTAAAATAAATTTGTTTTTCATAAGCCCCATCCCTGGTGATTTAAAAAAAAAAATGTATCAATACAATGGTCCTTTGCCCTCTGCCACTAAATCTTTCCCCTCACTGCTCTTTTTATCAATAAAACACATGTAATACATTCAAAATCAGGCAAAGCAAAAAAGCAAGGAAATGCAGGCTTTTATCCAGGAGGTTCAGTAAGGTCCTGGGTATGAACACTCACACGCACCTCTGAAATCCATGGTTTTGTGATCTAGAAAGCTTACATTTGCTTCTTGGTGGTCAAAGTCAAATCAGAGGCCCAAACTACTAAGAGTTCTCCAGACTCCTTAATTTTCCTACTTATGTCTTTTGGAAAGTTGGACATATTGGACAACAATTAACAAAACAGAAGAATTGTGTAAAGGAAGTCAAGAAAGGCTTTACTAAGCCATAAGCATCTACTATAGAGGTGTCCACTAATTTTTCTCTCTTATGGTCTCAAACATATTAAGATTCATCTAATACAGATTATGAACCTTCACATTCTTCTCACTGCCTTTAAATTGTAATGAATTTGTTGGATTCTAGAATAGAGGTAAGATCTGCACCAAAAAACTAGATGATGGTGCTTCATCCTTCCTGCTGCTGGAGTGAAATACAATATCAGCCCAATTCTAGTCCAAGAAAGTTAGGAATGGGAGTGAATCCAGATGGCAAWCTACCTGATGATCTCCTTATGTGGGCCTGAAATACCAGTTATGTGCCAGGCTCTTAACCCTGAGGCAGAACTGAAATAAAGGAAGGGAGGAAAGCAGGCTTTATCAAAATGAAACTGTCAGAAAGCTTTATTATTCAGTGGCACACTAATAATGACACAGCTAATGAGCATGCAAAAATGAAAATCTAAATAAACAAAAGTGTGCTGGCTATGATTTGGGTACAACTAGGCAACTTCAGTAAAGAACAAGGAAAGAACTCAATAGTTTAATGCATTACAGACAAAAAAGCTTTAAAAAGTTACCGCTGACGATCTGACTTGTATGTGGCTGTCAGCTCATCAAACATGGTGCTGTTCATTTCCATAAATGCCTTCAATACATTGTACACTAACGCCACAATAGCCCTGTGAAGCAGAGAAAAGGGAACATATTGGTTAGTATTACATAATGGGATGCTGAATGAAGAAAACGAAAGCACAACTTTTGTCTGAATGAGCTCAACTGCAAACTGTTCTCATCCCTTCATAGTTGGAACAACTAGAAGTGACCTATAGTTCACTTCCACATAAAGGGATTTAAATTCTTTACTGTTCAAGGCAAGATCTTTCTGAGGGAGATGGAAAAAGTAGGGGAGAAAAATCTAATTTTACCCTTCTAATTACTGGTACCCAAGGCCACCTGATAACTTTGTTTCACCAAAAGGCAACTTCAGCAGGGAGCAGTGGTGCACACCTGTAATCCCAGCAGTTCGGGAAGCTGAGGCAAGAGGATCACAAGTTCAAAGCCAGCCTCAGCACAAGTTAGGCATTAAGCAACTCAGTGCTGTCTCTGAATAAAATACAAAATAGGGCTGGAAGTCAAGTGACCCTGAGTTCAATCCCCAGTACCCAAAATAAATAAAATACAGCAACTTCACCCTAAAAATAAACACCTATGGTAGGACTAACCTTAGAGATCTGAAGCTACAAAAAATTTTAAAGTATTAATATACATAAAATCAAAATCAGAAGCTGTTCCCATGAAAACAAATCATATACACAGATATACGCAAACATCTATGTATATACGTAACATACACATACATTCATACTCAATGTTCATTTATTTTCCCAGTTGTGATTTGCATCAATAATCCATCTACTCTGCTCAGCTCCTTTGCTGATCCACTACTAACGCTGACAAGACAGATAACTGGCAAGCTGGTGGTGATGGTCATTGTTAGTTATATAACATATAAAACTAAACAGTCAAAATTCTGACCCATCCTTTTTTAACAAAATGCCTTTATTTTTATGTGGTGCTGAGAATCGAACCCGGGTCCCGCACGTGCTAGGCGAGCACTCTACCGCTGAGCCACAATCCCAGCCCATGACCAATTCTTATTAATGGAAGAATAAGCTCTTGGACAATGTGAGAACTGTGTCATGATGGGTTTGACAGCCTCATACTAGAATCTAAATAGCTTTACCCTTCACAAAAATATACAATGTTATTTCCATCTTGCAACAAATGTGCTCTCAATACTACTAAGATGACATTGGTAAAATTAATATATTAAAAAACTGTAAGTCTGATTTTTTTCAAAACATTTATAAGAAAGTAGTTGCTGAGTAGTGTCTGTCCTGTATCCATTAAAAGGAAAATTTACGGTCATTTCTGTTAAGGTTCCAGATTGACCTTCCTCTCAAGGGGAGTGAYGGAGAAGCACCAAATGCTGAGCAGTAACAGACATTCCCAAACACTACTCTCCAGGTCCTCAAGATATAATAAGACTCAACGGTTTACCATTCCTTTATTTTTGCAAGTACTATTTTCAAATTTGGCAAGTTTGAAAATGAAGAAATGTGATATTTTACAATAACATGCAAATTTTTTTTTAAACGCACAAATACATCTATTAATTCTTTAATTCTATATTAAATTTTCCTTCTGTTCTATATAAAATAAGTAAAGCAATTCAAATAGAGAATGCTTTAATGTTCATAGGGCTGGATTAAATTTCTTGAAGATTCTAAAGTCCCCCCCATAGAATATGTCTAATAATTGAGTTGTTTAAAAATAGACCTTGCTATAAAATGCAAATCTACTCAGATGACTTCCCTCTTTGAAACCCTTCAGTATCTCCTTATCAACTACTTAGTTAGGATTCATGTAGGCCTAATTCCTCTTTCTTTCTTTCTTTTTTCCTGGGGGTGGGGTTGGGTACTGGAGATTGAACCCAGGGGTGCTTAACCACTGAGTCACATCCTAGCCCTCTGTATATTTTTATTTTGACACAGGATCTTGCTAAGTTTCTTAGAACCTTACTAAGTAGCTGAGGCTGGCCTTGAACTTGTGATCCTCTGTCTCAGCCTCCTGAGTTACTGGGATTACAGGCGTATGACACCACAGCCTCCACCTAACTCCCCTTTCTAACCTCATCTTCCAGCACCCTGGCCCAAAGACACTGAGCCTTAATCCTCCCAAACTCACAGGTCTCAGAACTTGACAGGTGCTTTTACATCTTTGTGTCTTCTTATGTGATGGATGGGCCCCTGCCTGAAAGGGATTTTCCCATCCCAAATTTTTGGAAGATTTATGGACTGCTACCCATCACCCACTCTGAAATCTCTCAGTTTCAGAGTATCCCAAAAATATATCCCTTCATAGACAGGTCACAAAGACTTACAAGTAAAAACAGTGCCATTTTGTTAAAATATCTATTTACCTCAGAGTCTCCCAACCAGTCCACAAATTCCTAAAAGTAGGAATTTTATCTTTTCATATATCTGTCTTTAGCAACAAGTACATCATTTGGCACACAGTGAGCATTCAAGACATTTTATTATGCAAAAGAGGAAGAAGGAAGGAGGGGGGAGAAAGAAATCAAAAACCTACGGATTCCAATGTTCTTTTGAAATCCTATAAAGACTGGAAAACATGATGGGAAGGATGACATTAGAGTTTTCTTCTATCAAACTCATGATGTATTCATTATTCCAATAATAGAGTGCCCTTTCTGCCACCTTTGGGGAAAAAAAAGATAACGATATAATAAGTTATAATCTTTCCAAATAAAAATATTTTAAAATCATTCAATCAAAAGTAAAAATTAAATGTTAATCACATTTTACATTTTTGTGGATTTAAAATCTCTAAAAGTTGCAAAGTAGTTCATCAATTAAGAGAAGGCAAAAAATACTGTTTTCCCTGTTATTTATATTCTCCTTTAATTTTACCCATCTCATCTGACTCCTCATTTTCCCCTACACAGCTCTCACATTCCAAGTATCTTTACACTACCTTTGCATACTGCACTATTTTCCCATCACTTGACCCCATCTTAGAGATCCCCTTTCCTGGCTCACCTCTCTCGTCCCAAATACTTCAGAGCAACCACATGGCCTAGCATATGGTTGGTATTCAGCAACAGATGCACAGGAAAATCCACAGGTGCCCATCCCTGTAGAGCAACCATGTTCACTAAGCACCTCCTGTAGCCAGACAATGAGCCTGCACTGCAGGTACAATGTACTATATCCTCACCAACATCCAAGAAGTAGGTTTCAAGAGGTTTAGAGAGATCAGGTAATCTATCCAAAATCATACTGCTAGTAAATGCTTAAAGCTGTGGATGCTCAATGCTTAAAGATGGCTGCTTAGTTTCTGGAGGCTGCACCAACATTAGCTTGCTCTCTTAGATTTCTATTCTCTGCCCACCACATTACCAATTTATTCTTATTTGGTCTGTTGGGCCTGAGTTGCGCATCTTAGATTTTATGAATTCATACAGATTAAGAAATTATGTCTTACAAGAGACAAAAATGGTACAAGATGACCCTATCAATAGACGGAAAAATCAGAACCTTTCCATTTGGATTATTTCACTTGGTCCAATAAAATTGCTATGATTCACTAGGTGCTAAACGTTAAGAATACAGAGAAAGCAATCAYTATTGAATGTTTACTATATGTCAGTTACTGTGCTAAGTGTTCCACTCCTTTTAAACTTTACAACCAACAGAGTTGGTACCAATATTTCTATTTTGCAGATGAGGAAACTAAGACTTGGAGAAGATAAGCCATTAGCTCAGGGGCACATGGCTAGCAAGTAACAGGATCRGAAGTCTCTGCTCTTAACTTTCTTACTTTGTTATCCCTAAGGTGTTGATAGCCTGGTAGGGGAAGGAGGCATCTATGATCTATCCAATATAAACTGTGACAGAGGCTGTATCAGATACCATTTTTAAAACTATCAGAATAAATAGTCTGCAGTGAATGAATTATCTATCTATATGTACCAAACAAAGGCCATGTGAGGAAAGAGTAAAGAGGCAATGTGCATGCCAGAAAGCAGGACTTCACCAGAAACCAACCATGCTAGCACTCTGATTTCAGCTTTCCAGCCTCCAGAACTATGAGAAAATGAATCTGTGTTTAAGCCACTTAATTGGTGCTATTTTGTTATGGCAGCCTGTGCTACCATAGACATTATCTCTCCTTTCTAAGCTTCTGAGCATCATTTAAACCTCCCCAGTGATACCCATTTAAAAGAAAACCTGGTTCCTTGACCTCTTTTACACCGAACATCCTGATGAAAAGGAAAAAACAAGGTGAATAATCCAGATGTTTGAGCATTACAGGTGCAATATGCAAATCATCTATATACTGTTCTGCAGTTTTCTATTTTTATCCAGATATGTATTATGTCACCTCAATAGTTCATGTAATGGTCTCTACTTGTTTTCTTCCATTTTCTTTGTAGCACAAACATTAGATTCTTATAAGATTGCTGCTTTGACAAAATGATGCATCTCTACGTCAAAAATTAAAACAATAGGGCTGGAGTTGTGGCTCAGTGGTAGAGCACTTGCCTAGCAGGTGTGAGGCACTGGGTTTGATTCCTAGTACCACATAAAAATAAGTAAATAAAATAAAAGCATTGTGTTCATCTACAGCTAAAAAAAAAAAATTAAAACAGCAAGAGCCAACCTCTCTGCCTCTTCTGGATAATGACAACTAAAGGGAAAGTTCCCATCAAATGACTCCATTTGAAATGTGCTTTTGTGCTGCAAACCACAATCTGAACAATCTCTTCAAAGTGACAAGCAGTCAATCCTCTAGGTTTGTGAGATGGATCTTCAGTGAGACTGCCAGGGGATTAAAAAAAAAAAAACATGTTTTCAACCCTGATTCCCATTTCTTTTCTCCTATGTGGGTTCCATAGCACTGCAGCAAGGGCTCCACCATTGAAAGCGGGTGTCAAGGTCAGCCTCCCCCATGTTCTCCCTGAGTGGCCACAAGGAGGCAGAGCAGGCCATGTGAAGGTCATGGGCTTCAGCAAGAAGCTACAGTTAAGATCAAAATTTAACTCCATGCCCTATTAATTTGGAACTTCGTGCAAAGCATTCTCTGAACCTCATCCAAAAAATGGAAAAGAGCCTCAGAGGATAATAATGTACATAAAGCATCTAGCACAGTATAGAAAGAATGTTAGGGTCATTTTTTTTTCCTCCTAAGTATTATTTAGTCTTCTAATAGATTCAAGAACCCAACTTATCCTGAGATAAGTTATAGTAATTTCCCTGAGATAAGTTATTCCTATCTGTAAATCTGTTTAAACAAACAAACAAAAAACAGAATGCCTTCCTTGCAGGGTATTTAGGAATTCAAGAAGGCACCATTACAGTAGCCAGTAAGCAACAGGTGCTCAAGATAGGGTGGCTGTTAAGAACTGTTATGTGAGAAAATTCAAATAAAAAGCAGCAAATAAAACAACAAACAAAAACTAATAATTTTTTTAAAAGCAGCTGTCATTCATTACATCTCCTTCAAGACAAGTGAAATCAAACCAAAACAATTCATGTTCTACAGGACACTCTTGCTCATGTCCTCTAAACTACCAACCTGGAAATGGGGACTAGATACACACTTGGCAATTTGTTTAAACAAAGGTTCTTGAATTTTAACAAACTGTGAAGGTTCAATCACATCCAAAATTTCTTCCAGCTCCCCAAGGAACATGACCTATAAGCAGAAGCAAAACATAAATGAGAGGCACTTCAATTTAAAAATCAACATGATTGTTGATGATTAATGATAGTTCACCCCACTTTAAGAAAAACATACACATAAAACCAAACAAACATGCATTATCCCATTTTACAAAGAATTCATACCACAGGATATACGTCAAAAGTTCCCTACAACACTGAAAACAGAATCCAACCTAGTTTGAAAAAAGCAGTCTACTCCTACACATGCCAGGGAATAAGGAGCACTCACATACTGCACCTGGCCTCTGGGAAACAGGACTCTCCCAGCAGGCTTTCCTCTCTACTGCTAGCAACCTAGCTATCTCCACCTCTCTTACCCCACCTTTTTTCAAACAATGGGAGGGGGGCCTATGGTATGGACAAGTAGAAATACACAGTGGTACAGGCGGTCATCTGGTCTCTGTGGTCTCTGCTACTGCAGTAAGTACTCCTATAGGATACACCAATTAACAGAATAGAAAAAAGTCATATGAACAACACAAATGAGCAAACTCACCCACATGAAAGGTATCACATAAACTTGCCAACAAACACTGACCCCATTCTATGTACTTGCACACATACACATAAGCTCTTTAGAGAGCACAGTGAATCTCATGGCTTCAGCACTATGTGCCTAGAGACCAGCAATATTAGGTTATAAGATGGAACAGGAATAATAGTTGATTTGGTCAATTATATTAAATATAATGAAAAAAATGATAGAAATAAAAGTTTACCTAAAATTCTCACAAAATATAAACCTAAACAGCTGAACTTGGTTTCTAGACCAGGTTCCACGTAGTTTTAACCTTTCAGCAGAGTGACTAAAGATCTGGGGCAGATTCAGTTAGGCTCACCTCTAAGCTGCATGCTTGAGGATTCACTTCCCAAAACCTCACACTGTGTGTGTTCCTGCTTAGGTCTCAGCAAAGATGCAAATGACTGTAGGTCAGAACCTTCTAGAGCTACTTGTGAATGAAACTAAAGGCTATAATATAATTTAAGATTATATATATTAAGATCCCATCCATACTGTGTTTTAAGAAGCATGTGAGAAGTTTGCTATAGCATCTATAGTGACAGCAAAATCTACATACTACGAAGGGAATGACTAGGAAGGGAACAACAGAATTGACAACTGAACATATAAAATGGGACCTCATCTGGGGTTACCTGAGACTGAGCAACACAGTGGATAAAAGTCTCATGATCAGGAGTTAGGGAGGTGGTTTCTGATCAACTTACCTGTTCTTAGTGTGCTTGAGTGGGCTACTTCCTTCCCCTCTAAGCCTCAATTTCACTATTAATGAAAGGAGATGGACAGTCCTGCCTCATAGAGCTACAAATGAGCTTTGGATGATGTATATTTACATATTTAGCTCAATGCCTGGCACTTGGCAAAGCACTTAGTAAGCTATTGTTACATCTTGACACTAAGCACTTACCTCTTTTTGACTGCATGTTTTAGGCCAAAATTTCATTAATCCCCTAATAACCTAATAAGAAAGAAGAAAAAAACATGTGGCGTTTAATTTTTCCTACTACTTTCAGGAAGTTATTTTTCTTAAAGTTAAGTTCTGAATTGAGAGGAAAAAAACATTACTTACTGGTTCTGTGAGTGAAGGATCTTTCTCCAGAAACTGGACTATACAATATGCCAACTGAAGAAACAAAATATGAAAGACAAAATTGTGAACTCTTATACTAATGGCTCAAAATATAAAGTATTAAAACTTCCTAAAATGTCTCCAGACTCTGGTCTTAACTGGACTATGAACTCATTTTAACTATCATAAAAATAAAATATATCAAGCAAAATATAAAGCTCTTTTTCAAAAAAAGACAAGGTCTGGCTACGCTGTGTTGCCCAGGTTGGTCTTGAATTTCTGGGTTCAAGTGATCCTCCTTCCTCAGTCTTCTGAGTAGGGACTACAGGAGCGCAACATAATACCCAGCTAAAAGCTACTTTTTCTAGCCAAAGACAAACACTAAAAAGGTTCCAAGAGAATTTTTTTTTTTTTTTTTAGACATGAAGCATCTGCAGCTAATGAAAAGCAGAAGTGAAACATTACATTCAGTATATTCTGAAAATATCACATTTACATACTAGTAGGGTTTATCTCATGGGCTTTCTTTCTCTTTTTGCTAACATCAATAGTACTAGGTTTTACTGTGCTTTTCAGAAGAATCCTACAGGGGAGGTAGGCACTTTCTCAAGACCCAGATGGTTGCCTGCAATGGCAAGCACAAACTAACAATTTCACAAAGAGATAAAAGGCTGTACCTGTCACAGTTAAGAACCTAGAGAAATGCAGAGTCCCAATCTGATACTAATATATCTAAGAAAAAAATTCTTTTAAATGATCACAAAATGTGATAGCCCATTACAAAAAATAAATGGCAATATATGTGAAGGGCTTGTTAAGATTCTTAAACAAGAAATCCACCCTCACAAACACCAACATTTTGATAGTATTCTAAATTAGAAATATAATGGATTAATTTTTCCTCAAAACACAGATTTTCACATTTAAAGAGAAACATTATGTACAAAATTGCTACATTTTTATGCAAACTAATAGCATTTCCACTGGAAGGAGAAGGGAATCAGAGGTTTGAAATACTAAAATTAAAAATACCCCTAGATCATCTGCCTTCTAGTGACATGCTGACCATGCAAGGTAGTGTTCACACAGAAACTAGAATGGGGACAAGACGGGATATGCTTTCTAAAGTAATGAAGGTTTAAAAAAAAAAGGAAAAATTTTGGAAACTTGTTTACTTGTGAGAATGTTCATTTCTGTGTGCAAAGTGAAAAAGAAATGGTGAATGAAGTAGAAGAGGGGACAAAAGGGCAACTAATGAACCAATGCAAAGTAAGGTAGAACAAAATATTCAAGAACATTAAAAAAATTATTACACAATGTCCAAAGATCTGAATCTGAAGAGCCCACATACATTCTATTGTAGGCAATATGTTCAATATCTGTGTGAACTTGGGAAAATCATCAAAAAAAAAAAAAACCAAGACTGAACACCAGCTGCCCCCACCTTATAAATATTCCCACAGTTCTTCTGTAAACAGAAAAAATAATTTATACATTCTAATTATCATCAGGGAGTATTTTTAAACTTTAATGAGACTTGTTTTTTTTAATAAAGGAAATATCAATATCAAAACCACTGAGTTTGCAAACTTTTTATCTTGCTTCAAAAGTAATTGCACTTTAAAATTCTACCTGGGCGTGGAAGAGTGATAAGCTCCTGACAGTGTGTAAAGGGATCAACACTTTCACCAGAAACTGTTTGTGTTCTGCCTTAAGAGGTAAAGCAAAGCCATTGATAATACTAGGAAAAAGAAAAGAGACACAAGTTAGCAATGTTACCACATAAGACCAAAAGAAACTGTTCTGTGAGCCTGGTTAAGTATTAATCAGTTGTTTGTCCAGAACCATAACCAAAACCAACCAGTGGCATTCAAGACTTTTTAGTTACTTCAAAGAGTTCATTTAAGTAGGAAGGAAGTTTAAGAGAAGTGAATTTGCTTATGATCACCCAACAAAGGCTCCAGTGCTCTTAAAACTAGTCCAATGGTTTCCAAAAGATTTTTATAAAAAGCCCTAACTTTTTCCTTCCTCCTTCTTTATCTTCCCCATATGATGCCTGCTTTGCTAACTTCCTCCTTTAATATATCTCTTTCCTTTTCCAGATATTATTCCTTCTCATTCCTGAAATCTCTGGCCAACCTTGGGAAGTCAATGGGAGAAAATTGGGTGAGTTTCACTTTCTTTTTCTCCTCATATCAAGAGGAAAAACTAAGTTATCCCATTGTCCGGCAACATTAGGCTGTGTCTTTTCAATTTGTTCCACTATGCCAGGCAGCTGTTCCAGAACTACACCTGGGTACATAGTTCCACTGAAAATGGCCAATTTTCCCAATCTATTATAAACTTGCTTTCAACAGATATGGCAAAGGAGGGGTAGCCTAGAAACTATGCTTATAAAATAGAATGTTTTGGTGTGACTGGCCTGACTACAATTATATATTATCTCTATAGTAATAAATGAACTTTTGGCTTTTTCAATCATTCCAGAGGAATGAGCAATGCATAATTATGGAACAAGAGGAAGAGGAAATAGTGTCTTGTAGAGTCAGTTGGGAAACATGCTAGGCACAAATGAGAGAGAACCAGAGTATATACAGTAAGAGACCTAGGCCAGCATTTCTCTGTGCCACCTGAACCCAATCTTCAGAATAATATTCACCTGAGATAAGTAATTTCATAGAAAGAGCTTACCTTCCTAATATTTCCAGAAGTTCAGCTACACCATTGAAGTGTTCTGTTTCATAAACAAACCTTAAAACAGAAGAGAGAGGAGAGGGCAGGAAAGGAAGGAGGAAGGGAAAGAAGTGAGTTGGAATAGTCAGTACACTATGTTTAAATATTGGAGGCTTATTTAGTATTTCTATAAAAACATCAACTTTGCATATCCCGATCCCCCACACTCCACTTACCTTAGAAAAATATTGTTAATCTGTTTTCGGATAAATGCTCTAAGACCAAGAAACTTGCCATAAATTCTATGTAGAACTGTTTTTAAGTAGTCTCGTTCCCGAGGGTCTTCACTGTCAAATAGCTCCAAAAGCTGTGGGAAATGAAACACAATACAGCTGTCAAAAGCTGCTTCGGGAAAGATTTTAGGCATATGATCATTCATTATTTAAAATCCCTCCCTTCATTTCTTCCTTCCTCAACAAAAGTATTTACTATCTATTATGCGCCAAGCACTGTGTTAATCCAGGAATATAGTGATAAACAAGTCAGACAAAGGGCTTCTATTGCAGTGAACAGAAACACAATAATAACAATAACATTAATAATAACAGCCAACACACATAGCATTTACTATAATTATCAGGCACTTTTCTAAGCAATCTACACATCTGAATTCTCCCAATGAAGTAGTTTTTATATGTCAGTTTTACAGACAAGAAAACTGAGGTATAGAAAGGTTAAGTAACTTCCCCGTGGTATCAGAGATAATAAGTAGTAGAGTTAGGATCAGAACCCAGTCAAGGCCTGAAGTCCATAACCTCAAAACAGTGTTTATGCTACCTACTAATCTTATGTTCCAAATATACAGTTAGGATAAACTTTCAGCTCTACCAGAACATAAGGTAAAATATCGAAAGTCCCCAGTGAGGGCTGGGGATATAGCTCAGTTGGTAGAATGCTTGCTTTGCAGGCACAAGGCCTTGGGTTCTAATATTTCATTGTGTATATATACCACAATTTCTTTATCCATTCATCTGCTGAAGGGCCCAGTTATTCTTTTAGGAAGAATGCCATTTGGTAAACTGTCTAAAATGCTCTTCAGTTTTTCATATTAAATTTGAGACTGAACTAGATAGTTCAATCCCACAAAGAAAGGGGAAAAAAAGGCCCCAGTGATACTTGTAATATTCTTTTTAGATCTGGGTTCTTGTTACATGAGTATGCTCATTATAAAACCGGTTCATAACCCACTTGAATCAAATGTATGAAATATGATATGTCAAGAACTACGTAATGTTTTGAACAACTAATAATAAAAATTTTAAAAAGAAAAAAAACAGTCATCAGAATGAATATTTATTGTTTTAGTATATATGTTATAAGTGAATAACATATTTATGTTCTCAATCCTTTATAATCTTAAGTTAATAATAGAATCCTGATAATATCACATCCACATACTCATAATGAGATCCATGCCTTCAAGACATAGCCCAAAAGAGAAAATGAGCTAAGGCTCAGGTCAAATGACAGTGTACACTACAGATTCAACTCATTAGCTGCCAAATGCTTTGACTTTACAGAAATCGACTAGTTGATCCTGTAATTTATGTGAAAATACCCAGGAGAACCAAAACAATCTTATGAGGGAAACTTTTCAATTTCAAAACTTAGTGTAAAGCTTCCAGTAACTGACAGAGTGTGATACTGTCAGGACAGACAGGCAGATCACAGAATAGAACTGAGGATCCCAAAATAATCCCTCAAATTTACAGTCAAACAATTTTCAGTGAGGATGCCAAGATAACTCAATGCAGAAAGAATAGTCTTTTCAACCAGTGGTGCTGATAACAATTGGATTTCCACACACAAAAGAATAAACCTAGATCCCTACCCCACACCATATAGTCAACTCAAAATGGATAATTAAACCTAAAGATGTGAGTTCAATGCAAAAAATGGAAAAAGGACAGTTTTTGAATAGACAAATCACAAAGAATGTATACAAATGGCTAAAAGACACATGAAACAGTTATATATTTCACTAATCACTACAGAAATGCAAAAGAAGAAGATACTACTTATTTGACAGCTCTAATTAAAAAGGGGGGGTGATAAAGAGTCTTGGCAAACAAAGAAACAATATGTAAGGGATCCAATTTGTTCATAAGAATGTAAAATGGTATTAGGCATTTTGGAAAACAGTGTGACAGTTCCTCAAAATTTCTAGTTGCTATATGATGAAACAACATCACTCCTAGGTGTACAATCAAAAGAACTGAAATCAGATATATTCATACAAAAACTTTGTTCATAGTGCAATATTTGAAACAGTCAAAAGATGAAACAACCCAAATATCCATCAACTGATAAAGAGACAGATAATATGTGATACAATGGAATACTATTCAGTCATAAAAGGAAAAGAAGCAGTGTGTATCATATTATTATTACAACATGGACGAACCTTCCAAACATCATGCTTAGGAAAAGGAGCCAACACAAAAGCCATATCATGTATGATTCCATTTATATGAAATACCCAGAATAGGCAAATCCTAGACAAAGAAGTACAATGGGAAGTGACTACTAATGGGTACAGGTTTGTTTGGGGGATATCTACAATTATATGGTGGTAATAGCTGCACAACTCTGTAAATATACTAAAAACCAATGAACTGTAAACTGTAAAATGGTGACTTTATGTCATGTAAACTATAACTCAATAAGCTGTTTCTTTTTAAAATGACAGTGGGCAAGTCCCTCTGGCTAAAGAACAAAATTAGAAATTGATCTGAGTTTTTAAATACATTCATTACCACTGCTTTAAAAGAAAAGTAATATCTTTTATAGCAAAACATTTCAAGAACATATAGGCAGCACACAAATGAAAGCAGACTAACATCTGTATCAAAAACTATCAAGACATGCATAAGCACAATTCAAGTGGTTAAAATATGAGGCTGAGATTGATAGCAAAAGCATAACTAAGTGGGTGGTAATAAAATGAATGTGCTTCAGTATGATGCTTTTCTTCAAATGAAAAAACTGTGAAAATGATCTTTCAAATATGTCAGGAAGCACAAACTGAAGGGTAGTCTTCCCCAAAATGGGAAGTAAAATGGGACATCATTTTTGGTTCTACGGTGCCATCCATTTGTTTAAAATAAAATGAGTATTTCAGGTAAATATGTATTGGCAGCCAATGGCCAAGGAGCCAGGGATACAATAATGGTTTAGATAGATACAATCTGCTTTTGCAGAGCCTAGTCTAATAAGGGACACAGGTGAATAAATGGCACAAATAGTTCGGTAAGCTGTATAATTGCATAAGAGACCTAACTACTGTATTTGGAAGAAGTGCAGTGACAGGGAAGGCTTCTAGAGGAAATGATATCCAGGCTGACACAAGAGTGGAGTAGGGCAAGAGTGTTTGTATTTATCAATTCTTCACCACTATAATAAAATACTCAACACAGGATACTAAGAGGAAAAGGTTTATTTAGCTCACAGTTTTAGAGGCTAAAAGGCCAAACAGCATAGCACAAGACTCTATGACCAGGGCCACCCCTTGATGGCATCACCTCATGGTATAGATATCAATTATGTGGGAGCAAGTATATGATTAAATCTATAACCAGAGAAGAGGGAGAGACTGGTGTCCCATAATCCCTTCCAAAAGCACACCTCAAATGACTTACAGACATTCTACTAGGCTACACCCAGGGAACCAAGCCTTGAAGGGCACACAAAACTATAGCAATGTTCATGAAAGATTCAATAGTACACACCCTCACCAGCAACCTATCTGAATAGAAGATGCTGTTAATAACACCTGTCATCTTTCTGACCCCTTAGTAGTGTTCTTTCCACATGCCAGGGATGGTTCTTGTYGCTGGGCACACACAAAGTGTTGAACGAACTTGGAGCTCACTATGAGAGGCAATGAGCAAGTTAAAACATTTCATGTACAAAAGAGAGGCCTAGAATCCCACAGCCTCCCCACCCAACCCTTACTCCAAAAAAAAAAAAAAAAAAAACCAGAAGACCCAGATGGACTCAGTATATCTTTATGAACTTGCTCAAATTGACAAAAGGTATCTGACTCACCCCGTTTCATTCCTTATTAATAGAAATGATTAACTTTTCAAGTTCTATTTTTTCATTTGGTTTCTGTTTTTAAGTGTTGCAAAAGGGCTTAATGACTAATTTGCAGCCAACATAAGAGAAGGTTTGAGGGGGTGTAATCTTAGTAAAACTTGAATCAACTATGCTTATGAAGTTAATCTTAAGAGTTTAATAAACATATCATTAAATAAAAATTATTAAGTTCTTGTAATGGTTAGGACTTTAACCTCATCACTGAATTAGTCCATTATGGATTCAGAGCTGAATGGACAACTGAGAGAGGAYGGAAACAGGAGGAGGTGGAACCTAGGTTCAAGGGAGTTAGTTCTGGGGGTGTGTCCTAATGGTCCCTGGTTGCTGGCTTGTGCTCTCACTCAAGCTCTTAAGCATTCTCATGCTCTCTCACCTTCCCAGCAGACATGAAGGAAGCAGCTCTGTTCTGCTACATGTTCCCCATCATAATGTTGTGCCACAAAATAGGTCCACAGTGACAAAAAGCTAAGACAGTTCTCAAAGTATCAGGTCTCAAATTAGTTATTTACAAGGCACAAATATTAATTGTATCCTGTTCTATGAGAAAGGAAGATGAACTACAATATTAAACTACTTTTCTCGTGCTCTATAGAACATAATTTTGATGATTTTATGATGTATAAGACAAAAGAGAAAGTATAATAAGCATAGATACAAAAGTGGGTTTCTGTAATAAAACACAAATGTAACAGAAAAACCAATAAGAAATATTAACTTGACATTTATAAATGCCTAGGTGAACCGTGCCATCCACAATATAACAGGTAATTTGTTGTCAAAAGAAGAACAAGAGTTCCAAGGTGATTAAAGAGCAAAGACAGAGCTGTCAACATACTGACTTCAAAATTAAAAAGAAAAAAAGCACCTTTCCTGAAGCTAACAAGGATGAATTGCATAGTGTTTTAGCCAAAGAATCCTTATTTGAATGTCATAATAAACCTATAGTGAAATGAGGAGAACCATGCCTTTCAGTTAGACATGGGGAACTGAAACTTTCCTCATAAAACCTCCCTGAAATGACACTGAAAGAAAAACAATGGAATAAACCCAAAGAGCAGAGAAGACCAGAGGACAGCAGATCAGACATGCTTGCAGATTTTTCACAGATTGGAAGTCGATGACAAGAGGTAACCATCTTAGGATTTCTGTCACACCATCCTGCTAAGTGTTTTTCCATTTTGTAGAAAGGGAGGAAAGCTAACAATGAGC